ATAAATGAAGTAAGATAAATAATAAAAAAATATTGCCTTTAATTATGTAACTAATATAAAAAAAAATTTAGAAAATCCAAATGTGATTATGAAAGTCTTTATCTTAATCTAGATTGAAAAAGAAGAAAGATGTTCGAGCCTTTGAGGCACATTTATTATCATTATTATTATTATTATTATTTGCAAAAATTTACGTTTAGCCTCTTGAGTCTTGACCCCTCACCCTACGCAAGTAACGCAACCGAGGTAATGGACTAATTGAAATAAAGATCCAAATAAAAATAAAGTTTTGAGGTAATAATTTTGTCTTTAAATTTTTAGTTTTTAGTTTGAATATTTTATAAGATTTATCTAATTTTTATTTTTAGGACATAAATTAAAGGTATAATTAATATATTTTTAATATTAATTAATATAAAAAAATAGAAATTGAAATTAATTTTATCACTAATATTATATATATAGTTTTAAATAGATGATTAATTAAATAAACATCAAATTTTATTTTTTTAATAATAATTAATATTAAAAAAATATTTTTAATTTGTATAGGCCCTAAAGATTAAAAAATCATATTTTATAATTCAGTGTTATTAATAGCAGATAGCAGTAAATAGTGCCAAAATCCACTATGATAACATAGCAAATAGCGAAGCGGTCGCTATTGACAAGATAGCGGCAAATTTTTTTTAAAAATATAAATATGGTTAAAAATTGATATAGTAATAAAAAGACTTAAAATGACCTAATAAAAATTAACAAAAATAAGATAATATTTCAAGCACATTACATAATAAAACCTATATGAAAAAGGTTTAAAAATTTAGAACTCATATAACATAACAAAATTAAAAAGTATAAATATAGAGTCACTAATAGTTTCAATACATGCAAATTAAGAATTTAAAGTTTTTTATGAAGTCTAATAATCAAAATCACTCCCTTTAACTTCCATTCCCTCTTGCTCAACCTCATAATCATCATCATCATCAACTTGGCCTTTTTCACCTCTACTATTGGCACTTGTCTCAAACTCCTCCTCTTTCTCATCTTACTTTTCAAAATTTAAATTAGTTACCTTTTCAAGAACTCTAGATCTAAAGGTTGTTATTAGTGTTCTAGAGGGGAGTTGGGATTACATTTTTTCTTGCTTGCCCCCTAGTATAAGTCCTAATTTCTGTTGCTCCTGATGCCCTCACAACATCTCCGAATCACTATGATAAAGTGGGTTGCTGTCGATGACTACCAGTGACTTCTTTTATGAGTGATTGATTTGGCTTCTTTGAGAAGAAGAGGAAGGGATTGCGTTGGCTTCTTTCATGTGAGGGAGCACACTAATGCATAAAATGAAGAGTGAATTAGGGTTTTGTTTCTATTTAGGGTTAAAAAAAATTTCTTTTTGTTTTAATAGAATGTAAGTTAAGAGATCATTATACCCTTACCCTTTAAAAAGGGATATGATGTTGAACTCTCTCTCTCTCTTCTTTTTTTTTTTTTTTTGACTTTTCACTAAATATTTAAATAACATTAATAGCAGTCACTATCACTATGAAAAAAGTGGCCATTATAGCAGCCAAGGCGGCCGCTATTATAAATCCGCTACACTATGGCCGTTATAGCAAATACGCTATGAACCACTACGTTATGGTCGCTATTGACAACACATTTATATTATTATAAAAGCTTTTTTTATTTATATGTTATTTTGCACTTATTACAAAATTTGAATTCATT